AGAATGTAAACTCCGCCTTTTGCCCACCAAACTTGCGCGCCAATTCTGACCAGTGATGGTTTAGTTCAGTTACTGTAGGGTAAATTGTAATTCAGTTGGCCACCTGCATGTGGACTGACAAGACTATGCAACTTTCTGTGTGTGTTACAATCTCATTGGCCACTGGCCCCTATAAAACTGCTACGCCTTTTAATCTAGGGGTCCAAGTCCCTGCTCCTCTGTGTCAGGTATACTTGGGCCCAAGCTCAAGCTTGCAAATAAACCCTCGTGCGTTTGCATCGGTATTGGTTCCTTGGTGGTCTCTCGGATTCGAAATAGGGGGCATTACAGATTGTAGATCTTTTTTAAAAATTTTTTTTTAACGTTTATTTATTTTTGAGACAGAGAGAGACAGAGCATGAACAGGGGAAGGGCAGAGAGAGGGAGACACAGAATCTGAAACGGGCTCCAGGCTCTGAGCTGTCAACACAGAGCCTGACGCGGGGCTCGAACTCAGACCGTGAGATCGTGACCTGAGCCAAAGTCGGATGCCTAACCGACTGAGCCACCCAGGCGCCCCTACAGATTGTAGATCTAATCTCCCAAATGTTCTTATAAAATTTTTATGTTTTGATCACATTTAAATCCTTAATGTATCTGGAATTAAGTTTTGTATATAATATTAAGTAGGGGTCCAAATATTTAAAACACTTGGGTTTTTGTTTCTTTTTAGGTAATCTCTATGCCCATTGTGGGGCTTGAACTCACAGCCCCAATATCAAGAGTTGCATGCTCTACCAACTGAGCCAGCCAGGTGCCCCAACACTTGTAGTTTTTAACTTTAGGATTAGATATTACTTATTTTGTAAAGATGCAATTACATAAGCCAAATCAGCAACTCTGAGAACTGCACCAGGCAGTTCTAAGTGAACTCAAGGATGAAACTGTGGAATTAGTAGCCCTGCTTCAATGAATGGTGTATGTATATATGATGGAGTATGTGTATGATATGTATGATGGGAGTTCTTTTTTTTTTTTTTAATTTTTTTTAACGTTTATTTATTTTTGAGACCGAGAGAGACAGCATGAACGAGGGAGGGTCAGAAAGAGGGAGACACAGAATCTGAAATAGGCTCTAGGCTCTGAGCTGTCAGCACAGAGCCCGACGTGGGGCTCGAACTCACAGTCTGTGAGATCATGACCTGAGCCGAAGTCGGCCACTTAACCAACTGAGCCACCCAGGCGCCCCTGTATGATGGGAGTTCTGAACAAAGGAGGCAGTGTAACAGCTGCTAATCAGTGGGGCTCCATAAACCAGCAAAACTCAGGCCAGTGAAATCTGAAATAATATGTTCCTCAGAATATAAACAAAACCAAACTATAGGGAGGAAGGTAGCATGATTTTTTGTAAATAAAATGTCCTGATTAATATATTAGAACTCATCATAGTGGTTGTATTAGTTTGCTAGGGTTGCTATAACAAAGTATCACAGACTGGGTGGCTCAAACAACAGAAATTTATTTTCTCACAATTCTGGAGGCTACAAGTCCGAGATCAAGGTAGACCAAGTAGAGTTGGTTTCTTCTGAGGCCTCTCCCATTGGCTTGTAGATAGCTGTCTTCTCTCTGTATCTTCACATGGTCTTCCCTCTGTATGTCTGTGTCCTAATTTCTTCTTCTTTTTTGAAGTTTATTTATGTTTGAGAGAAAACACGCGAGCAGGGGAGAGGCAGAGAGACAGAATCCCAAACAGGCTCTGCACTGTCAATACAGAGCCCAACATGAGACTTGAACTCATGAACTGTGAGATCATGGCCTGAGCCAAAACCGAGAGTCGGACGCTTAACCGACTGAGCCACCCAGGCCCCCCCCCCCCCCGCCAATTTCTTCTTTATAAGGACACCTATCATTGGATTAGGGCCAACCCATATGACCTCATTTTAACTTAATTGCATCTTTAAAGACTTTTCAAATACAGTCACATTCTGAAGTACTGAGGGTTAGGATTTCAATGTATGAATGCAAAAAGGGGGGGGGGTATGGTGGAGACACAATTCAGCGTAACAGGGATTAATAATGCATTAAATAGGATTTTATTTTTAAAAAGCTTTGACAAGATTTTTATATTGAAGAATTTAAAGAAGTAACTAAGGAATTGTGATTACCAGTTTGTTAAATGCACGAACTAATAAACAGATCGATACATGGTAAAGAAACTTAGAGGTAAGAAACAATGAGTAGAACTACAAAGACACTTTTCTAGAAGGAGAATATACAGATTGGTGTTACATTCTTAGAAAAGATAATCTTACATTCTTAGAAAAGATACAAGGGAGTGCAGCATAAAATATCCACTTTGATAGGTATATTTGATTTCTTCTAGGTAATGAAAAATCAAAGCATAGGATTAAATTTAAAAGATGATTTCAGGTTGTATATAAAAATATTTTTTAGGGACTCCTGAGTGGCTCAGTCGGTTAAGTAAGCATCCTACTCTTGATTTTGGCACAGATCATAATCTCACAGTTTGTGATGGGATTCTCTCTGCCCTTCCCCCCTGCTCACGGGTGTGCATGTGTGTACTCTCTCTCAAAATAACTAAACTTAAAATTTTTTTTAAATAAAATTCTAATAAAAAATTTTATCATGAATAAGTAAAAGGTATTCATAGGTCAGTGATTCTAAGTGGGGGTCAGGGGTGGCAGGAAAGACTACCTTCCAGGGATGAGCATATCAAAACTATGGGTGAGGACAGTGCTTTTTTAAATTATACTTTCTGAAACTTTGATTTTTCTATCATCCCCTCCACTCTACCCTGAGAATCACTGTTATAGTGCCCCACTGATTGAAGAGAGTATGTTAAAAATGGCACTTGATAAGAAATAATTCAAACTGCACTTACATGATTATGGTCTCAAAGCTATCTGATGTGACCTAAGAAAGGGACCCTAGTGACATGTTAACCATGTCCTAAAGACCTTAACCCAATATGCTGCTGTGATCAGAGAGGCTATATAATGTTGGGTGACCTGAACATTAACCCTGGACCAGGACACACAGTATCATAAAATCATCAGCATCTGCTTTTTGAAAAAGCATCACAGAACTCAGAAGCCTATTCTCTACAATTAAGAATCAGTGATTATAACCCCCCTCATTTTATATGTAGGAAACTACAATTCAGAGAAGTTAAGATAACTTGTGTAAAGACTCTTAAAATAGTTATTGGTGGATCCAGGCACCAGTCTAATATTCTTAACTACTTTAGAAACCATTAATTCCTATTACAAGTATTCAGGGTTTTTATCCAATGTGCAGTTCTGGTCACTACAACTTAAAAAAAAATGTAGTAAAGCTAAAAAAAAAAAAAAAAGTCTGAAGAAAAACAAATTAGATAATCAAAAGGGATACTGTTACATTTATTTATTGATTTATATCCCAATCTCATTCCAAAAAAGGCTTACAAAGATGCAGATAATATAGTAAGAAAAAAAGATTAAAACAGAAAAATGAAAATAAGGAAAATAAAGATAGGAAAGGAAGATGGAACCAAGAATGTGGCTAGCATACAAAATATACGATGTGAAGTCCTAAACACTTGCTGGAAATGGACCACAAATTAGGCTCTAAGTGGCATAGCACTGATATGAAGAAAAAATTACAGTCAGTTGAATATTTAATGTCTTTAAGGTAAAATCAAACAGCAATTCAGGAAAAGCACAGCTGAATTCAGAGGAAATTTTTCCCATGCATCCTTAAACAGAACATTATGAATTGTAATGATAAACACCCTTTACAATAGCCACAGCTATTAAATTTCACAGGGATTTTCCTACGGATTGCCGAAGTACAATCCAGAAAAAGCAATTCTGCAAAGGCCAATAAAATGCCAGCTATACAGGGGAAATCTGGCTTAATCCAGGGACAGAATTAATAAGCACAAGTACACAGAGTACTTTCCAGACTCTCTTTGGTTTGTAAAGAGAGATCAAATATAACTGAAGGATAATAAAATGAAGGTTTTGAGGGGTGCCTGGCTGGCTTGGTCAGAAAGGCATGTGACTCTAGATCTTGGGGTTGAGTTCGAGCCCCACAGTGGGTGTAGAGATTACTTCAATAAACAGAGTTTTAAAAAAAATTTGTTTTAAATGAAGGTTTTGAGAAGTTTAGAAAAATGAAAACAAGTTATAAATGCCAGAAATGTATAAAATTTAAGGTCCAGATGACTTTCCTTACTAAAGAAAAAGGTTCAGGGTGCCTGGGTGGCTTAGTTGGTTAAGTATCCAACTCTTGATTTCGGCTCAGGTCATGATCTCCTGGTTTGTGACTTTGAGCCCTGCATCAGGCTCTGCAGGGACAGTGTGGAGCCTACTTGGAATTCTCTCTTCTTTCTCTCTCTGCCCCACCCCTGCATGCTCTCCTTCTCTCTCTCTCTCAAAAATAAACATTTTTTTTTAAAAATAAAAAGGGGCACCTGGGTGGCTCAGTCAGTTAAGTGTCCGACTTTGGCTCAGGTCATGATCTCACGGTTTGTGAGTTCGAGCCCCATATGTGACTCTGTCCTGACAGCTCAGAGCCTGGAGCCTGCTTCGGATTCTATGTCTCCCTCTCTCTCTGCCCCTCCCCTGTTCACGTTCTGTCTCTCTCTCAAAAGCAAACATTAAAAAATATATATTTAAAAAATAAAAAGGAAAAGGTTTTTGAAGTACATCTCTAACCTTAGATCTTAAGGCTGATGTCATGCCTCTTAATCCCTTGGTTTGCCCATCAGAAACTGAATCCCAGGTCATCTAGGGAAATACTCAGTTTAATAATCCTTGTGTCTTCCAAGGAGACTTTGTTTTGGAAAAAAAATTCAATAGCTGTTCCAATTAGCCCTAGAAAAGACATTTAACCCATCCATATTTCAGTTCTTATTCCTCACATTTAGGCTATTAGATTCACTTTTGAAATTTTTAAACATTAGATTTATCATAGACTGGCTTTGAGCCCCCAGATCACATGTTTTAGCTACATATTTAGGGGTTAAAATGCCAGCTTTTGAGACTTTTGAAAAACATTCATACTACTTCTGAGAAACCTGTAAAACACATAAACAGCACCTTGAGACTCCATGAAGTGTTACTTCTCAAGAAAGGAAATACGGCAGAGAAACAAGGAAAGGGAAAAGTAGAATAAGCCTCTGGTTGAAAGCTTCAGGGTATGAGCATTGGAGAAATGCAGCGAAGGAAAAGGTCAACACTGATCCGAGATGTTGAATTGAGAGGTGAGTTGTATTAGGGAGTAGGGAGGGGTAGGGCCAATTGTGGCTGCCAATAGCAGAATGCGCAAGATTTGAACTCTGGTCCAACAAGTAGAAGAACAGAATAGTAAGAGGCTACAGAGTAAAAACAAACAAGATCATCAAAGTGGTCATACTGAGTTGGCAGTGGAGGAGATCCTTGGGTTCTCAGGCCCCAATCTACAGTAGAGGGGCTCAAGCAAGGCTGGGATGGACCAGGTAGGACTCCAGGTTACAGTCAAAGTTCTTGAAAAGCATGGACTCCGATGGACTGGGCTGGGTAGCTTGTGTCTCCATGACAAAGTTCACTGGCTGCTTCTGTAGGAGCTCTGGGTCAAAGGCCACACCCCGAAAGAAAGGGTGGACCTGGAAGTGATGCAAATAACGTAGACGGTGTAGGGGATTCTGGCATAAGAGCTGAAGGCAAATAGAGCATGAAGGATAGATGAGATAGGAGAGGGGCTAACCAGAAAAGCTGGAAAAGAAGAAGTTCATGGGCTGTGGAGGGCAGGAAGAAGAATCCTAAAGAGGATTTGAAAGAGGGAGAAATTATTGGGGGCAGAGGTGGGAATAGAGGCACTGTCCTGGTAAGAGCAGCACTGGCCCTCTCTCTCAGAAGTGACTGACTATGCATGAGGAGGATGGTATTTGATCAAGTTAGAGCACGTGCGCACGCACACACACATACACACACTCACCAAATTATTAGAGGAATGGGGAAATCTCATTTCAATAATAGGGAAAGGAGAGAATTGAATGGTTTGGTAGTCAAGAAGGAAAGTAGTGTTCACTCTTACCTCATGGAGCAGGAGTGAGAGCCCCTGGTTAAGAGAAGCTGGGACCTCAGAATCATAGTGTGTCACACTTGCCAACATGGCCACATGATCCCTCTCTGCAGCCACTGGGAACTGAGTTAAGAGGTGGGGAATGGGGGTGGGGGGCAGTGGTAGCATTGTTTAGTAGGAATAAGGCAAGATTTCCTAAGTTCTTCCCACTACAGGGCAGAGCTCCTCTCTTTGCCCAACATCCCTACCATCTTCTCACCTTCCCAGTTGCCAGACAGAAAAGCATGACACCCAGGGACCACCAGTCAGCAGCATGGTTGTAAGGCCCTCCACTCAGGACCTCTGGGGCTAGATTTGAAAGACAGGTGTCACTGCATCAATTGGCTATCCTCTGCCAATGCTTCCCCACCAGTTTTAGCCCCTGTCTCACCCATGTACTGAAGGGTGCCACAGATAGTATAGGCTCGGGCTCCCTGGGGCAGGTGGCGGGACAAACCAAAGTCTGTCAGTTTCACATGGCCTGTGAAAGATAAGGCAACAGCACCACTCTGTTCCACCCCTTGTCAGTCATGACATATTCCCAAACTGACAGTACCTCTAATTCTGGGGCTAGGAAAAGGAAAGGACATACCTCGTTCATCCAGAAGGATATTCTCCATCTGAAAAATCACAAGTGAGAGGTTATTCATCTTCCTTTTGACCTTCTTTTATCATATATACCTGTCCGCTGAGGAAGATGCCCTATTCAGCATTCAAGTCTATACTTTGAGGGCTCTTGCCCAAATCCTTAGCACCCTTGAGGGCCCCAAGGTCAGCTATCCTCATCTCCCCTCTCCCTTCTTAGATCCGTTGGTACTTCTTACTGATGCCCCACTTCAGACAGAGAAAAAGTGCTTAACTCTACCTTCACATCTCGGTGGATGATGCCCAAATCATGGAGATAGCCTGTGGATGACAGCAAGTAATGGGGTGTGCTAAAGCTCTCCTGTCTTTCCAGTTTCCCTGGTAGTTCCCATCCCATCCCTATTCCTGTTCTTTGACCTCCAGAGTTAATACCACTTCTCTCTGCCCCTCCCCCTTAAGTCTTCCCTCATTTCCATTACCATTTCTGTTTCACTTACACAGCACCAGAACCAGTTCAGCAGCAAAGAGGCGGATGGAAGCCTCAGTCAAGCAGCCGACAGAGGACCACAGGGAGCACAGATCTGTACTGCAGTAGCTGCACACTGCAAAGGACCAGAAGTCTAGGTGATATTGGGGGGTAATGTGCCTGGGCTCAAAGGCATTTTAGGCCTCTTGCCCAAACTGATGCCACATGTTGTTCCCTCCCTTTGGGAGACAGAAACACTCAGAGAAGGGAAACAGCCAAGGGAGAACAAGCCAAAGGGATAGGTAATCTCAGGTGGAGTACAATGGGACGACTCTTGGAAATGAGAGAGACCACTCACTAATGAAGAGGTGTCGTTTTCCCTGCCAGCTGTCCCCCAAACCGTGTACAAAAGGATGGTTGATCTGTCGCTAGGGATGAAAAAAACAGGAAGTTAGGGAGGAAAAAGGGCACTGAGGATCAAGACAGCCAAGAAGTCAGGATTTAACCTAGTTGTGCAGAAAGGGAGCTGCTGCCCTACCTCTAAGTTCAGGTGAACAAAATAGTAGGGACCCCCTGTCTGGTAATCCCAAAACCAGCATGATACTATGAACACACCAGGACATGCTAGAGAGGTTTCCCTGGAAGGACCTAGAATTAGCTGCTGCTAACTACCTTTCCCAGGATCTGCTTTGGTTGAAGCAGAGGGAGGGGGCAGAATAAGGAAGAGCAGGGCAGTTGGACAGGAAAGGTGCTTTCTCCATCTGTGGTTTAGTTCTTCCTAGGCTCCATTCCTGGGCTCTGTGCATACCTGGATGCTAACCTCCTCTTTGCACTGCCTCAGGATGTCCCTCTGTAGGACCTTTACCTTGGACACCACCTATAAAAGGAGAGGAGTGATGACTCCTATGTGTTGTTTATGCCTCCCAACCTTTCTGAAACCAAGAATAGAAGCAGACACTAGAGAATGATATGGAATACCTAGGTCCCTACCTTCACTGCAAATACTGCTTTCTGGTCACAATCTAGCACCTTGAAGACTGTTCCAAAGGAGCCTTTAGCCACAAGTCCTAAAATCTGTACAGAGAAATTAAGAATAGGGTGATTGAAACTCTGGCCATTTCTAGATGTCTCCCCAAGACTGAGACCCCTTCCAGGGACTGACCTACCTTCAGCTGGTGATGCCCTGTAAGAGGCCTAATGGGAAACTCCGGCAGAAAAAGGTTGACGAACTGAGGCACTGGCCACTCAGACAGAGGCTTCTCTATTAGCAACGGGGTCGGCTCCAGGGGCTCCTGGCGTAGGCACTGATGCCCCCGTAGTCCCCACAGCTCTTCCAGACCTGACCTGGTAGTTCCCACACCTGACCAGAGGCTCTTCCAGCCTCGGACCCAGGGACCCTGGATGTTGCCACCCTGCTGAGAACCAAGGGAGCCACTCTAAACCTCTGCCCTTGAGGCATTACAAATTCTGCCCATCTTAGAGGGCATACCCTCAAATCTTAACCTTAGAGATATGTTTTTGAGCACCAGGCAAAATTGCTACTACCCTTGTTTTGGGCCAAGGCCTAGATTTCCTGGACATGATTCAAATCCTCTAGGAAATCAGTATGTAGACATTTTCTCCATGAAGCATCAGAAATTCGTCCTGTACCTCTCAGTATGGGGTTGGGATATTTTCACCGTATAGCCTCCTGTTTCACCTCCACAGTGGGCATCACTAACATTCTCCTCACTGGTCAGTTCCCAGGCCTCAAGCCCATGTCCCCCCTTCACCTCCCCTAAACAGGCTGCCAGAGCCCCACAGCCTACCTTATGAGAAGCAACCACCCGGGCATGTTGCCCCTGCCGACAGCTTACTGTTCCCATCCAAAGCCTCTGCCTCCTCTACCTGCTAAATCTGTTGTCCCAGTTACATAAGCAATTCCTCCCCCTGCTGCTACATTACACATGAGCCCCGCCTCTTCCCTGCTATTCATGACTAGAGATGCAAGTGGATGCAGCCAAACCCCACTCATCCTCAAATCCTATCTGCCCACCCCACTTATGAATAAGCTTATAGCCAGAACTAAAATGTGCAGAGACCTATCAGCAAGGGGCCAGTGTCACACCAGAGCTGGGAAGTATCTGTGATAGGGCTTCATGGAGGAGGGAAGAGGCCATCCTCATTAGAGTGACAGCTAGAGGATGTGTCTTGGGTTGATGGGGAGGGAAGGACACAGGTTGAACCCATGTACTTAACACACCAAAAAAAATTAATAACTAAAATAGATTTTTTTCTCTTTAAGTCATTTTCTTACCATTCTCCAGGGCATGCCCCAGGGGGATCCATGGCCAGCCCTGACTCCTATTGCCATTTTCCCAAGTGAACTTGGCACAGATTGAGGAGGGGCTGATTTCCCCCCAGAACCCTAATACCTCCTATACAAGGCAGTGGAATGAGGGAGAGAGCGGATCCTCCCCTCAACTTTCTGGCACAGAGGGAGAGCAGTTACACTTAGAAATATATATGTATATATTTATATATAGGTCTATAAAAATTTATCACACTTGATCAGAACTGTCCCTCCCACCCTTTCAGTTGGCCCCAAGGGAACCAGATCCTGATCCTGGGCCCAATCCCTGGGTCTTGCTCTCTTGATGCCTCTCTGGCCCTGCTGATCAGTGTGAGGTAGAACTCAGCATTATTATCCACCGTGTTCTGCAGGGAACAGGCCAGCTGCTAAAAGAGCAGTGCCTCTCTCCACAGTACCCTGTGAGCTCCTGACCACCACAAATCCTGATGGATGAGGGGAAGCGCCTCCCACCCCACAAGTCCCTGGGGCCTGAGCCAAAGTCAGATCCTGTACTGCAGCCACTCTTGCATGCTGGATCACTTGCGCCTGCCAAAGATGGACTTCTTGCCAGGGTTCTTGTTGCCCACACTTAAACCGATGAGGAGTCGGGCTTTCTCCTCCTCTTCCTGCTGTTGCATGTTGAGATCTGATTTAGTTTCTAGCTTTCCCCGGACCTCAGACCCTGTTGCAGGCTTCAGCCTTAGCTTCTCTTTGATTACCTGGTAGGTTAGAGAGGAGTAAAAGGGAAGGTAAATATTAGTGGAACAGGCAGAATAAATCACTGTGAACCAATTCAAAAAAGATTTGTTAAGCTTACATGAAGGCACAATGTGGCCATTCAAATTATAAAATGATCTCTGCTTTCAAGAAGCTTACAGTCTAATTAGAACCTATTCTAAACCTGAAGTTGCGTCAGCCCTCAGTTCCCTAAAACTCAACAGCAGTTAACATATATAAGTGTAAACATTTAAACATCTGACCAAAGTCATGGAGAGGGCAGGGATAGAAGTTGCTCACTTCATGCACCTGCCCGTTGCCAAGGCTACTTGTCCTACATATGTCCTACAATGAAAGGCTCCTGAGCACAGGACCTGTTTGTCAGCCCCTGCTAACCAAACAGCCATGAACTCTGGCCGGATACCTGGGCAACCAGGGCTTTGCGGCTGTCCCTCTTGACAGCCATGGCAAAGTCTAGCCATGTCCATGTGTTGTTGTGGTACTCCAGACAGGGCAGCACAAGGTTAAGGTCACCCCAATCCACACTATTCTTCTCACCCTGCAAGAGAAGGAGGGAGAGGGGAGAGAAAAGAAGAGCGAAAAGATCAGCTGCCATTTTTAGTCCACAGCTAATACTTTTTTAATATATGTGCTGCTGAAGTGAACACACAGTCCAATCTAATACTTGAGTCCCAAGTCTAGCACTTTCCTGCAGCAGCAATCTAAAGATACTGATTTCCCTTTACCTCATCCTGTAACAGTACTGATTCCTGAAGGCAGCAGAGGGAACAGCAGATTATTACCCAAAGACCATCTTCACAATTTAGACTGTCGTGCCTAATTTTAATCTCTGATCTTATCTGGTTCCCTTCCCACCCTGTTCTAGAAAGTACTAGGGAGGAACAGACCTTGTAGCTGACACAGAGAGGAACCTGTGGAATCTTTATGTAGATGAAGGAGTTGTTCATGGCGGCTCGCTCTTTCATCTTGTCAATATCATCCACAGGGTGCTAGGAAAGGCAGGAAACGAATATGAGTTCTTGAAACCATCAGAAGAAACTTAGAACCCCAAACATCTCCATCTCCTTTCATCCCTGGAAAAGACTCAGGAAACAGAAGAAATCTTCAGCTGACCCAAGCAGAACCCTAGGATTCTTCCATCTTTCTGTCATTAGGGACATGTCTGGTACCTCAGGTACTTTCCGAAATGATCTTCTGACACCAGAACTCCGATTTAAGCCTTGTGCAACACCCTTCCCAGGGCCCAGTGGTGCTGCATCATCTGTTGCAATCAGCTGCCGAGGCTTAACCACTGGTATCCCTATGAAAAAGCAAGCACACCAGCTGTTGTCCTCTTTCTGAAGCTTCACCTATCGCTGAGGCTGCTACCCCAGTCTTCCGGATCTCCACCATAAAAGTTCTCACCAGTAGTCACCAGTTTGGACTTATCTTCTTCATCACCAACCTCATCATCTTCTACGCTTCGGCCAGGAAAGAAAAAGCCCATTATTCTATGGAAGAACTGGTGTGTCAGCTGGATGGTGAGAGGCACCACATTTACCTAAAGAGGAAAAAGGCTGAAGAAGCAATTAAGCTCAGACATCATCCCTCAGTTTACCTACCCCTAATGTAACATTGACACACAGATAGCTTTTGAGTGCCCTTTGTTCCTGGGTCCCCAAAGGACTGTTTACTAACCTCAAAGTGTTCCTTAACAGAAATACCCCCAACAGGGGGCCGGACTTTGCTGAAAAGGCGGAGGGCTAGCTGTCGCCCAGATTGGCAGGAGCTCTGGGGCCGTAGGACTACCTGTAAGATAAAGAGTGATAAATCTACCCACAAATCCCTGCAGACTAAGAGGAAAAGCAACAGTCTTGCTAAGCTAGACAAGCTTTCACCTCTCAGATCACCACAGTATTTCCCTTAGTGGGTTTATGGGGAAGGGCCATTACAAATGCCCTGTGTTAGGAAGCATGAGAATGGGGCAGGAATGGGGAAATAAGACTTGCCTTATAGACAGCATTGGGGAGGAGGTTGTTCATAGTGAACCAGCCCAATTCCAGAAGATGTTCTGCTGTGTCATCAGACTTATTCACCTATAAAGACAGATTCCCCCCCAACCCCACCCCACACACTATTATAAGTCTTTCTCAGGAGCTTGCTAGAGAATTGCTACATATCCTGTTTTCAGGTTCTCCATATGTTTAATCCCAACCTTTGGTATCCCTTTCATCTCCATACAGTCAATTCACCCTTTAATCCAGTGTTTCTCATGGACACTACTAACAAGAGCACTAAGTGCCAGGAATCCTTCCCAATTACTGTAATAGTCAAAAATGGTCTCACTCATTTCCAAACTCCCAGGGGGAAGGAGTGTGGAATAATGAATCATGTCTTCTCCTCCATTTATTGCAGGAAAGCTGAATGTCAGTATAGAATTAATTCTATTCCAAGCTGGTATTGGAAGATTACTTCTTTCTGGGCCATATTTCTAGGGATAATCTTATTCAATGAAAGAAGCATTTGATCAAGCTCATCTATATCTGTATTATTTAATATTACAAACAACTATGTCTAAAGGGAACTCTGCTCATGTATCATCATTAATAACCATTAATACCAGCATTAGTAATCATATAATAATTAGCCTCTTTGTTTCTCCGAGTTAAGACTCCTGTGATAGATCAATGTCTCTCAATACAGCTGCCTTTATGTGACTGTATATACCCGATACCTTGCTGTAGAGGAACCGCTGCAGCTCTAGTTCAGCAATTCCTAGCTGTCCATCTTCCTCTGTCAGACGCCATCGTGCCTGAGCAAAGTAGAACTCAGTGCGACGAACCACACTCACATCTTCTTGTTGTTTTCGCAACTCCATCTTATTGGCCTGCTGCAATTGGAAATCCTTAAAACACCTATAAATGGACAGGAGGGCCAAAGCCAATAAGGGTAACAGCATTTGGGTTGGGGGTGGGGTAGAATGCTCTAGAATGATGCAGGAGGTAAATCCAGAGATGGACCTATTTTGGGACAGCTATTCCCTATTTTTTTCACTGGATTCATGCTCCTCACACCCTGGGCCATGGGAGAATAAATCCCATCTTTCAAATTTTTCAATTCCACAGTTGTTGTTGTTGTTGTTTTTTCTTAAGTTCCACACCCATCTTGAGAAACTTAACAGAAGACCATGGGGGAAGGGAAAGGGAAAAAAACAGTTACAGAGAGGGAGGGAAGCAAACCATAAGAGACTCTTAAATACAGAGAACAAACTGAGGGTGGATGGGGGGGGTGGGGGAGAGGGAAAAATGGGTGATGGGCATTGAGAAGGGCACTTGTTGGGATGAGCACTGGGTGTTGTATGTAAGTGGTGAACCATGGGAATCTACCCCAAAAACCAAGAGCACACTTCACACACTGTATGTTAGCCAATTTGACAATAAATTATAAAAATATATATACACATATATGTATATATGTGTATACACACACACACGTATATATATGTGCGCTATGCCACATGCTAACCATGTTAAAAAAAAAAAAGTAAGTTCCACACCCAGCATAGGGCTTGAACTCATGATCCTGAGATCAAGAGTCATATGCTCTACTGATGGAGCCATAAAGGTGCTGCTTTTTTTTTTTCCAAGGTTTTATTTTGGGGTTTTTTTGGTATATTTTGAGAGAGAGAGAGGGAGAGACAGAATCCCAAGCAGGCTCCCCGCTGTCAGTTCAGAGCCCGACGTGGGGCTCAAACTCAGGAACTGTGAGATTATTACCTGAGGCAAAGTCAAAAGTTGGACACTCAACCGACTAAGCCACCCAAGTGCCCTCCAGGTGCTTCTTAATAAAGTAATCTCTGCCCACTAATAAACCCCTACAATTGTATCTGCAATTGTGCTCCTTACTGATCAACTTCCAAGATATTTTATTTTCAGTTCACCTGCATAGCACCAGGGCCACAAAAGCTATCTTTCTGAGCTGATTTTCTCCTTTCCCAGGAGGTACTCTAATGAGGAGCCAAAGCAGGGGCTCTCCTGTTCTCAATCTCTTGGCCAAGACCAGCAACGCTCATTCGGGAAGTGCCCAAATCTACATCAGCCTTTGATAATGCACAATAGATCTAAAGCAAGGAAGAGAAATCAATTCCAGCTGGGGCACTAGAAAAGGGCAGGGAAAGGATGCTATGGCACCTGATGAGGATATTCAGCTCTTCACTTTCCAGCTGTAGGTTGGCCTTCTCCTGGTTTAGCTGCAACTGAAGCTTTTGGTTCAGGTCAAGCAAGTTCTCATTCTTGCTGTCATCCTGCAAAGACT